CCTTGACTTTAATTAGGATTAATGGATGCTAGCAAATGCACAGGAAAACAAGTTGCATCTGGTAATTGGCAAGGAGTAAGGGCCTGGGACAGTGTGTGTTCCTCTGTATGACTGAATGTGATAACTAGTTGACTAAAATTTTGGAAACTTGCAGCTGCATATCTTTTTGTATATTGAATGAGTAACCAAGATATCGTAGACAATTTATTTTGCAGAGAATTACTTTGGATAATTATATATGTTGCTTATGTATTTTAATGGTTGCCATTACTTGCCATAATCACTATCCCTGGGTGATACTGTTGGGAAATATTAGCACTCAAATGGTAATAGTAATCCTTTCTTCATCCATGAAAACTTAAAAGCTGGTATATGACAAGTTAGATGGGATACAGAAGAAAGATCTAGGCTAACCCTAAATGCTCTTAACTGAGAACAGAAAAAAGGCTATGAGTCGAAGTAGACAGTAAGGTTAATTAGAGGCACAAGAACAGCTGATGGTCAGTAGCAATGAAAGGAAAAGAATCTAGTACTTTCTGCTGGTATGGAAAACAATTTTCTTGCAGAATTGCGAACTGTATTCTCTTCAGAACCTACAGTGAAGCTTTCAAATGGAGATGTGAAAGCCCAAGGAGAGTTGGCCCTGGCGTGCTCATTCCTTATCTAATCTCAAAAGGGCACAAAATGCAGTTACGTTAAAAAGTACAGGAATTTCTTGTCTTAGTGTAATGAGGGGGGTGAAAATCTGTTTATTTTCCAGTAAAGTTTATTACAAATTGATTTGAACACGTGAAGTAGGAAACATTCTGACTTCTTAAACTGGAGTGTTGTTAAGTGGTTGTTATTAAACAATTTTTTTTTCTCTACAGTGTGGGTTTTATTTCCCCATGGACAAAAAAATACCTCAACTATTTCTACTTCTCCCTTCCATTCAGTAAAGTAGGAAAGTAGAAGGAGGCATGTGATAGACAGTACTGTATTACTGTACAAGACTATACTGCCATCGAGAGGTGTTGGGTGATATCATATCCAGTGCAGAGTTGAAGAACTGCAAAAATTAAAAAAAAAAAAAAAAAAAAAAAACAAAACAAAACCAACCAGCTTGTTTTTAAAAATTCACATGTGTGTGGATACATAGCTAGCTGTCCATGTGTTAAAGCATGTTGAACGTTTTATAGGCCTGGAGATTTCTAGCTATGTGTATATGAGGAGTTCTTGAATGGTGGGTATTTCTGTTTTATTTTCTTCCCGTAGGTGCTTGTGATTAGGTCAAATGTTAGATTCTTTCAGAATAATATGGGCCCCTTGTGGGCCCTTACAGATAGTTATCTGTACCTCTAAGTATCTACTCCTCTAAATAACTTGAAATTGCAGTTTTTATTTTAATCACATGATAATAACTGAAAAGTAATAGATTTGCTTTTACAGTCAGATCATTTATTTCCTTAAAAAATGATTGGAAGAGGTAATAAGGAATTCAGAGTTGAGGGTATTCAAGTTTGTATCTTCAGTATAGAAAAATTGGTGTTACTGGGAACTATCTATACTAAACAGTTGATGAAATTGATTTTTGTGACACTTAGTGGTGAAATCATTAAACTTGAGCAACCTGAGCTTAAACAGTGCTTATTCTGGCAAGAAAAAATAGTTTTCAAATTCTGACCTTTGGGAGCGTATTTCGGAGTTTTAAAATGAGATACAATTCCAACTGCAAAAGTTAGCAAACAAGAAGGCAATGTTCTTCAAATTTTGGCAAAACAGAATGAATGAGCAGGGTGATACTATGTGCTGATGACATTTTGTCTCTTGTTTTTCTGTACCAGTTTATACCAGCACCTTGAAGAGACTGGAAAAAAATAGATTGATGAGATTTCTTTCATTGCATTCACTGTGCAAAAATTTAGAAGACAGAAGCCATGCTATTGTGATTCACGCTACTTATCTGGAGATCAGGATATCTGGAGACTCTTAAAAGTTGTGTCTGTTTGCACCAGTGGGATGCACACACTGGTCGTACAATTAAGCTCTTTACCTCAAATTCCCTTCTTGTATAACTGGTCACTGTCCTTTCCTCACTGGAGTACTGTGAGGAAATATCATTAATATTTATGAGATACTTGCATACTAAGATGATGAATAACACGATATGAGTTACCAGTACTAGACAAGAAATAATTTGATTAGAAGGTGTAGTAGCTGTCTCCAGTTTGCTTCCCCCCATTTTGAGAGTAAGGAGCTGTGGTTACTGGCATAGATGGTTAAATAACAGAGTGATAAAAGCTTCTCACCAGGTGACTATACTTGTTACTGCTACAACTGCCTCTGCACGTGCTGATAAACCAGCCTTCCTCTCCATCACAAAGCAGGCAGGTGGTAGAAACCCTCCTACTGAGACCTTCTGTCAGGTATTGTCTGGCTCATCGCTTTCAGTTATTCACCATTTGATTTTTGGAGTGTATCTTTGATCAAATTCAGAGCATGACAAAGGTTGTTCAGGGAGCTCTGGCCTAGTACCTCGACAGTTCTGTGGAAAGACTTCATTGGAAATTTCCAGTATCTTTCTACAGAACTGCTTTGTGGGCAGCAAAACCTGTAGTCTTTTTAGTAATGCCTGGTGCATGCAGGTCTCAGTGTTTTAAAAATTTGAATGCAGCGATCTTGATTGTATGAGGTGAGTAAATAATAGCATCCCCATTTTTCATATAGCAAGCTGAAGCAGAGGAGGTCTTACATGATTTATCCAGAGCCATGAACCATCTAATGCTGCATCAATGCAGTCAGGTTGGACATGCAAACATAAATGTTTAGATGTGCTAGCACCTGAAATACTTCTCGTTTGTCTGAATTCAGAAATTATTTGCCTTTATTCTCCTTGAAAATCAGATATATGTTTCTGTTTTTTTAAATATGCCATTTACTTATAAACATTTTTATGGATTTTAAAATTGCTCAGTGTTTTGATGCATTAATAATAATAATAAATTAAACTTAATTTTGTTGTCATCTTTTAATATGGTTTTCCTGTAGTGAAAAATAAAGGAACACTCCCCATGGAGTCATGGCACAATGAACTGCAAGAATATCATACTGAGGGGAAGTAGTTTATTTGTGCTAACATAGATCAATTGGTATGAGTTTTTAAGTAGTATGTTTTAGAGGAGGGCTGTGGTATAGCAAACTTGCAAATGAACATTATCACCTGCAATTGGGATTTTATCCTTTTAAGAAGAAAATATGTGTGATGGCATGTGGGAATGCTTAATATTTGTAATACATAGACCAAAATGTTTATTATATAGGAATCTGTAATTCACCATAAGGACCTTTCCAGGATTTTTTTTTATTATTTTATTTTGAGGCTTTTCAAGATGCATAGACAAGTAAAAGAAACAATTTTTTGTTTTGAATGCTTGCTTATTTAACATGTTTCAGTTTAAGTGCAAAACTGAAGACAGCTTATGTGCCAAATAATTTATCGGTCTAATTTCTGATGGCAACAAGAATAGCAGTTTTTTATATGTACCAGGATTTTGGTTTGGTAAAAGCAGTTAAATTAAATTATGCCAATTTGAAAGTCAAAACCAGTTGAGTTACACAAGAGCATGCTTTTTCTGGTCAAAATAGGAAACATTTGGGATATTTTGGGGGTTATGTAAAGACTTTAATTTGTAACCACACTGTGTATGCTCAGTCTAAGTGGTAGACAAGAATAGTTGTTCGTGCGATTTGCCATTTCTTCAGCACATTATTTAAACCATATTACTTTGTGTATTTTTTATTTTGAATGATAGTTAATCTGAGCTATGATTAATTCTTTTAACATTTGGATAATTTAAAAAAGATGTGCACGTAGTGTTTACATAGTAGACATGGATAGATGCAAGTGATTTTAAATGCAGCTTATTTCATTTTAGTCATTACCTTCTAGAAAAAATAGTTGTTTTGTTGTGGGGAGGATGAGGGTTGCCCTTTGCATAGTTTGTGTGATTTCAGAACGTAGAGAATGGCATAGCTGTTGGGCCACATAATTAAGAAATTAACAGAAGTTAGAATGACACTGTTGAATTTGGGCCAGATGGAGTTTGAATGAGTATCTTTTGAATACACTTACGTAACCTTCATCTACTTCTTTTTTCTTGTTTCAGAATTTTAGCTTGGGATCTGTCAGAGTAGCAGGAAGGTTATGCCCTACATTACATATTGGGAATGAGATGAACTTTACAGGAACTAGAGGGGAGTCTGAAATGCTTGCCATCATTGTGTTTTAAATCTAACTTTCAAAATCAGTTCAGTGATGTCTTCCCAACAAATGGAGACTGATATGTTAAAAACATTTAGGGTTTTTTTGATTAATAAAATCCTTCAGCCGGTAGGCCTTCTTTTCTTTATTACCTGATGTACAAACAGTGATGTGGAGCTCAGACTCTTGAATCAAACAGCATTTAATGGCACTGAAACTGATAGTTCCATGGGGTTTTTTAAAAAGCACAATATATCTGCAGTTCTGGTCTTTGGAATCCATGTGGTTTTAGTTCTATGAACTCATGCCAAAATTGAAAAAGCTTCTGTCAGACTTACCCTTCAAAACTATGTTTTCACTTTCTAAGTACTGGCATGCACATCTCAGTTCCTTTAGTTAGTTACTAATTCTTCCTTTCACTTCATTACTTGCTTTACAGTGTTCTTCAGTTGTCAGTATTGCATAAATTGGTGTTGGTGAATGTATTCTTGCAGGAAGAATTGAATTGAGCTGGTGTCTGATGTCCTGCAGTGGCTGACCTGCTTTCTCTGTTTTCCCTGACCACTCATTTTGGGGGTGGGTGGGGGGTGCATTTGTGTGGTGTAGGGGTGTGGGTGTGTGTAGTTTATTAACTAATACTTGTCTGCTAATAGCTTAATGGACTGCAACAGAATTAAAAGTGTCTTCTCTTGAATGTAACAGGAAGTACACTGCAAATAACGTAACGGGTTAATGTACTGCCTTCCAATCTTAATTTCAGGCTGGAGGTTCTCAAGTGATCTTTACCAATCCGCTGGAAATTGTCAAGATTCGATTACAAGTGGCTGGAGAAATTACTACTGGTCCACGAGTTAGTGCCCTCACGGTATTACGGGACTTAGGCTTCTTTGGTCTCTACAAGGTATGCTTTTTTAAATATGAACATGCATTAAAAGCCAATTATGAATATTTCCAATCAAAACATTGTTCTCAGAAGCTTTCACAGGTAGATGTAATTGTACTTTAAAAAAATGCAGGTAGATGTAATTGTACTTTAAAAAAAAAATCTTACTTATTATGCGATATTGTATCTTCATTTTCATTTCTAATAAGGGAATAAACTGTCTCATGTTTTTGAGCATATGGTTCTTGTGAATCTTACTAAGATTTCTTCTCTCACTTCAGCAGGTGTAAGTATTGTTCACTGACAATTAGTTTGCAATTCCTGATGTTCTGCCTGGTGTAAAACTTATTTTCGTCTGCTTCAAGATGCAGAGCTTACAGTTTTGGAGCTGTGCTTTTGCTCTTCTCTGTTGGATTCAGCAACTTTTCCAGATGTCATTGTTAATTTGGTGATGGGAATTAACTGCAGCATAATAATAGTGAAGAAATACAGACAGTGGGAGCCCAGCATAAAAATGAACTCGTAAAGCAAGTTTATCCTTGCTACTTTAGAGTAATATTGCCACAAATAATATCAGGAAAAGCTGCTTTTATGAGTGTATGCTATAAACTCTATAATTCTGCTTTCTACATTACTGTTCTCACATAGATACGTTAATATGTAGAAATAAAGTGTGGTTTAATGTTAGACTGCAGCAGGATTAGAAACAACTTCTGTTGAATCTAATAGGATGTATGCTGCAAATAATTTAAAGGATTAGCATACTGCCTTCCACTTTTCGATGAAGGAGACCAGATATGGGGGAGGTATGGAAGGTTATGGAATACTTTGAGATAGCCATTTCACACAGTATCGAAAAAAACCTGTAGTGAATGCCATATACTGCAGAGCACAGTGTGGTGTTTCTTCAGATTCTGCAGCCTACTTCTCCGGGTGAAGCTTTTCCCACTACTACACATTTGTCCCAGTATTTCCAGTTCAGCAGGCAGTATTCCTCCGTTTCTTATTTACAGCAGAGCAACAGTAAATTGAAGATGCTTCGGAAGCCACCAAATGAGCCCCATCCCCCTCCTCCACAATATTTTAACTCAATCTCCATTTTTAACCATCCTGTCCTTTTTAAATTGTTCTGTTAACATTACAAAGAGGAAGCCTGCCCCTGAGTAGATGTATGTATGTTTTGGCCTGGAGAGAAGTTGCAGGTCTGAATAGGATTTAATGGGGAGTTGTTTTTCCCTTTAAATTGACTTGCTAATTTTTTAGGTGTTTTACTGAAGCTGATGCTATTGTGTAAACTCCTAGTAAATGGCATTATGGTGTTGATCAGGTCAACATTTACAACTGAAAACATGGATATGGTAAACAGTCTGCATCCCTGCGGCTGTGCAGGAATGGAGGGCAGCTACCGACTTTTACTTGGACTAGTAAAAATAAAACAAGAAAGAGTGATGAACTAGTTTACTAAAGTTAGACTTTTTTAGATTTTTTTTTTTCCTTGAATACCTGTTCTTGGTGGCTGAGCAGAATTTGCTACATTTTTCCATTTTTAAATGGTTTTAATGTCTTGGGTCATATTATGAATTATTTGTGTTTCCTAGAGTAGATACTTGGTGAATATTTGTAAAGAATAAACCTTAATAGGAGCTGGTTACAGCACTATGTTGCATTGAAACAGGCAGTTAATTAATTACAAGCTATATGGTTTTGTTGGTTCATTAAGTCCACTTACCTCCACAAAAAAAGCCACAGAAGGGTTTGGTTTTGTTTTAACTCTTCTGTTGTCTCTGTTTCTGTCTCTTTCCACCTCTCCACCCCACTCCTTGTGTTCATGTCCTTTTGTATGTTCAATTTGGATTCATTGCCTGCAAAAACTTGACTGATTTGACAAAACTAGAGAATTTAAGCTTGCAGTCAGTCATCCACCCAGCAGAGCACAGGACACATCAGAAGGCTTGAGTGCAAGTGCACCTTTAGTCAGGGCTAGCACTGTCATTGAGCAGGTTTGTGCTGTTGTCCACCAAATGCTTTGGCACAATAGCAAAACCAAACCAAACAAAAAAAGGCAATCCTATCTGCCCACTTTCCAGTATGCCAGCAAGAGTGTTGGTGCTGCCACATAATGATCTGGAACAGGAAATTCATTAAAAGTAAAGCCTTCTTCTCCTTACGGCTTAATTTACTTTGAACCCAAACCAGCTCACTTTGTGGCTTGTCAGGATGGTTGTACCTGGATGAAGGAAGTAACGGCCTCACGGCATGAGGAACCCATCAGTCTGTATTGGAGGAGTTTTATACTGCCTTGAGGTGCTTGTGGAACAGCAGCATTAGAGGCAAAAGCAGTTCTCTCCCAAATGCTTGTGCTCAAGCTGTCAGTGCTGGTGAGGCCAGGCAATAACTCATTGCATGGAAGTCACCAGCCCAAGTAAATGCTACCCAGAGACATCAGTAGTCTACAAAGATTTTCAGACGAGACTAGATTTAGTAGGGGCTACCTTCTCTGGTGATGCTTCTAGTAAATTAATTTAGTGAGTATAAGGACCAAATGAACATCAAATAGTAATAAATGTTCTACTAATGAGAACTGGAATGTCTTGGTACATTTGGAATGCTCGTACTCTTAATGAGTCAAATTATCTTTAAAACTATAAAACAGGAATGAGGATTTTGTGTATATCTGAGTACTCTTCGTGCTGTTTGCTCTAACATGAACAACTCTTTCATTTGCATCTTAAGTCTTTGTTTTAGCTTTGTCTTTTGTGTCCCAAGACACAATGCTTGTATCTCAAGCACTGAATGTGATTATTTTAGTAGATCTAAGTAAGACTCAGTACATGCTGCTGCAGAAGAACAAGAATAGATACTTGTTTTAGAAAACAGTTTTATTTGTGAATCTCTGAGTTTGTTTATAGGCTTAATGGGCCTTCATGTAAGTATTCCAGCTGTTTAAACACTGGTCTGTCTTAGCCATGATTTAGGACCAGCTGATTGACTTCCTTTTGCAAGTGTTGAAAGCGAAATTCTAGACTTTTCATTTCAGGAATTTTCATTTGAAATAAATGGAGGTTTGCAGTTTTTTCCCCTAAGTTTTCTTTTAAAAAATTGTTTAACAATCCAAAATATAAATGTAATATTTCATAGTTAATAACAAAATTTTATACTTTTTTCTGTTTTGTATGGCCTGAGTTTATTTTTTTTTTCTCTTCCTTTTTTTTGTGGCTGAAAGAAAGCTCCTCCATCAGTTTTGGTTCAAGACCATAATGTTTCCACTTGGCTTGATAGATTTTATTGTAAAACTGCTTGAAGAAGGTTTGACTGCACTTTTCTACAGCAGTTTCCACCACTGACCACCCAGATAATTCACTTCTGATGTCTGGATTAATGGCTATCAAGTGCCTGTAGTGTTGTGTCCCTGAAAGGGTGAAGATGGCCACTGCCTAGATGAGGCCAAGTAGGGCAGGATACTACGTGAAGCTGTAGGAGAGGGACAGGATCCTCTGTTGCTTACAGGATTTCCTTAGAGGTCTTGCTTTGAGATGGGAAGAAAAGGGATTCCCTCAACCTCAGGGCTGGCTGGTGAAATCCACAGAGAGCAAAGATCAATAATTTGTCTGTACTTCCAGCAGTGGAGAAAATAGGCTTCTTATAGAGATAGACTAAATGGAGAGGTATCACATATTTAACAGGAAGATAGAACCCAGAAGACGTGATGTTAACTTGAAACTAATATTACCATAATGATAATTTTTCGAAATAGGAGCATGAATATTTTTAAGCGGTTGCTTTTTTGTGATGAATGAGAATATTACCAGTCAGTCTGCAAGCTCATAGTAGAGCTGAAGAGTTTCCATTGCCTGTCAGTGTGAGTATACTTATGTGTTGATAAACTCTTAAATCAGGACTGGTCATCCAGTTTGCTGCACACTGGCTTTTCTGTTTCTCTTGCTCTGCTTTGGTGCTGTTTCGTTTACCACGTTACAAGGACTGCAGTGAAAATTCTCATTTCCCAGTTCAGAAATAAATCCTCTTGAAGGCTGTTCTTGCCACCATAGATCAATCCGGCACGCTCTTCTTAGTTCCTGTGAATCTTTTATGCTGAAATTTGGGTGAAAATCTGTAAGAGACCCATATAGTAGTCAGCAAGGAAGAATGTACTTTCTTTAATTATAACTGCAGCCAGAAGATGTGAGTTACGTATGTTGCTCTTAGCTTCATGAGGCAAATTCTTGCGTGTCTTAACAAGATCTACTGCTTGTTGTTTGAATTCTTAAATTTTGTATTAATTTCTACCTACGAAGCACTTTCTGTGGATTTTAAAATAATGTGCCCACACACCCCTGACACAGGTAATTTCAGTGTTCCTGTTTTGCATTAACAGAGAAAACCAAGGCACAGACAAATAAATCTTATGTCTCATGTCAACAGATTAACAAAGGAAATGCTATGTAAACCCTTTTTGCATCCAGCTGAGTGAATCTTGTATTGATTATGGTCATAAGTATCCCAGCATTCTAGTCCAAATGAATAGCTGTTTGAGGATCACTGGGAAGCTGGGTTGCATAGTTTTGATGCCCCCCTATATTATTGAGATTAATACTCTTTTGGGTCATTCATTGGCATGTTAACATGGTGCTCTACTGTGCTAGTGACCCAAAACAATTCACAGTAGTACTCTGACAAGATCTCTGCTCTGTGCTCCATTCTACTTGCAGACTTGATGTTAGAATAATTTGTGCCGAAAGCCAGTCTGGAGGTTATCTGGGCAACCCAACCCAGTATTTGACCACCATCATGGTTTAAAGCAAACAAACAGAACCAAAAAACCATCACCCTTTTTCTAACGCCTGATTGGAAATGGCCATGTTCCAGCTTCTGTCCATTGCCTCTAATCCTTCCACTACGCACCTCCAGGAAGAGTTGTCTTCCCTACACCCTGTCGTTAAGTAGTTGAGGAGATCAATAAGGTCTAGCCTGCTTTTCTCAGTTAAGCACACTTGAGTTCCGTCAGCCTCTTCGTACAC